ACCAGCCTGAGCAAGAGTGAGACCCCATCTCTACTAAAAATAGAAAAATTAGCCGGGCATGGTGGCACGTGCCTGTAGTCCCAGCCACTCGGGAGGCTGAGGCAAGAGGATCCCTTGAGCCCAGGAATTTGAGGTTGCAGTGAGTTTTGATGATGCCACTGCACTCTAGCCTGGGCAACAGAGTGAGACTCCGTCTCAAAAAAAAAAAAAAAGAAGAAGAAGAAGAAGGAGAAGAGTCTTGGAGGGAGATAAACTTATTTTGGGTAATTGAGGTGATTTTAAGCACAAATGCAGAATAACTTTCACATTTCCAAAGACCATCAAAGGTAAGCGACAAGACATTTAACAGTAGTTGCTATAGCAGCAAAAGAAATATTTGGTCTGTCCATCAAAGTGCTGCCACCACACCATACTATCTAGTTTTAGTTACTGTTTCTGGTTATTTTGTTTTATTTAGGGGGAAGATAGAACGAGAACAAGAATAAAAAAAAACATGAGTCCTGAGAGAATACAACCAAGCAGCTGAATCTGAACTGATCAATCCCCTGGAAAGAAGAAGAAAGGATCAATAGCTGCCCTGCGAACCAGCTCGAGGGCTCATCGAAGAAGTAAAAGAGTAACAGATGACTCTGCCTTCTGGTCCAGCTCACATAAAGAGATGATATTTAACATCCAGAAGCTGTTGGAGGGCTGAGGGTGGAGAAGCAATCCAAAGCTGAATACACAAACAGCTATGTTTTCACAGAATAGCAAACAATATATAAACAATGTAAGCACCATGCAGCACTACGCTGAAAATGCAGAAGCATCCTCTACAGTCAAAGCGCTTTACCCAGTAGACTGTCAGCTCCTTGGGAACAGAGACTGTGTCCCAGCAGCCAAGTCTGCCACCAAGCCTGGCGCGTAGCAGGGACTCGGTAAACGGCAGGGAGGTGAGAAGCAAGAGCCCTACAAGTTGTGTGGGTAGCTGTCAGCACAACACAACTATCCAAAGCCACAAATCCAGACAAGTCCAAGGGTTCTTACGCCCACTTCCTTACCTAAGCATACAGACACTGGACACAATCTGAGCATTTTCCCCACAGTTTAGTTTTGCCATTTTAAATATAAATTGTCTTCCACCGCAATCGCGTCCTCCCGAAGTCCTGAGTGTGTGGGAGCAGTCTGCTTTCCATTGCATCCCCTGGATGGCTCTCTCCGGCTGTTGCAGTTGGGGTTCACGTCTACCGGTTTCAGGCGTGTGCCGTGGCCATTGGTGTGTGTAAGCACGGTGTGCCTCTGCCCTGTCCCAGCACCCGCGTAAGTGTGAGTGATTTGCTCCCGCAGTCACGGAATCACAGCACTTCCGAGCTGGGATGGATCTTCAATGAAACCTCATCAAACCGCTTCATTTACTGGTCAGAAAACAGAGGCTCCGAGAGAGGCTGGCCGAAGGTCACACCGCTTGTTAGTGGCAGGGTAGCGTTAGAATAGCTTTCCTGGCTTCCTGATAACTGCTCCTTCTACCATGCTCTTTGGATTTCAACAGTAGACACATAATGACAACATTTCACATTTTCATAGTGCTTCATAGGTTTTAAATCATTGTCACCCAAATTGCTTCATCCTGCTAATGAGTAATAATAATTATCATTACAGCTTGCGCTTATTGGTTACTTATGACAAACCAGTCATAACCAAATCAGTGCTTTTTGCACCATTTCATTAGTCCTCACAACACTCCTATGTCTAGGACACTATGATTTGTGCTCTTTTATAGACCAGAAATATAGGCTTAAGGAGGTTAAGTAACTCGCCCAAGGCCTAGAACCTTCCTAATTGCCGGGTGCCAGGCCCCGCCCCAGCATATCTGGCCGCCTGCTGCGCTTTCCCTCACAAACACCCCTGGGCGAGACAAAGAAG